GACAAAATATTAATCGTGATATTATTCTGCATGAATCTTCACAGGCACATATGATGGCCTATTATGGAAGGCTTTCTCATAATAAAAATTCGATATTAAAATTTATAACACCTCAGAATGAATGTGTAGATAATAACCGTTCTATTATAAGAATTATAATAAGATGTTTAGATTATTTAATATCTCGAAACCAAGCCCACTGGGGGAACAGGCAACAAGAAGGCAATATGATGGCCCTTATTAAGCTTATTGCGATTCTGAACCTTTACTAAAAATGTATATACAGCAAAATGAAGAAAGAAAAAGGATAAAAAAAAATAAGGGATTAAAAACGAAATTATATTCAAACCTAATATCATCTCATTGAAACCATGAAAAATATGGTTATAAAAAAATTCAAAATGAGATTACATTTAACAGGTGCTTTTCAATCATAGTTGATGGCACATACGATGTTTCGAAATCAGAAGCAATAGCTTTGATAGTAAGATATGTTGAAAATAGTGAGACGCCGAAGCCTGTTGAAAGACTGATTGACATATATTGTACGGGAAATACCACAGGTCTCGATATAAAGCATAATATAATATCCAAACTTGGCTCGATGAATTTACCCCTTGAATATCTAGTTGGGCAAAGTTATGATGGCGCCTCAAACATGAGTGGAAGAATCAATGGTGTGCAAGCCTTGTTTAGAGCAGAGGCGCCAAAAGCAGCTTTTATTTGGTGTTATTGTCATCGATTAAATTTAATCGTTGTTCAATTATGTCAATCAATTAAAGAACTTCGAAATGTTCTAGGAATACTAGATGAGATTTATGTCTATTTTAATGGTGCAAAAAGATATAAGGTACTCAAAAAATTTCAGTGTAATGATCTGAAAAAATCGCAACGATTTTTACGCGTCAAGAATACAACTCGGTAATAGTTCCTTATTTATTTAAATTTTAAATGTTTTTTTAATTAGAAGCTGGCTATCGTCATATAAAGCTATTGTAAATTTTTTTCAACTTTATGATGCCTTTAGGGCAGCTTTGACAAATTTAAAGGATTCTGAAGATCCTGCCACTTCCACTATGGCTAGTGCTATAGTCTTTAGAATATAAAAATTTGATTTTATCTTATCACTTTGTGTTTTGGATAAAATATTGTTGATAACAAGTTTGGCTTGTACAAAATTGCAAACCATTTCGAAGGATATAGGGTATGCAATAAATCAAATTCAATTGACAAAAGATTGCTTGATTAATTTGAGAAGTATAATATAAATTATTGTCTTAATTATTTTTTAATCTAATAGATAATAACACTGAATTTTTGGATGTTTTTTCAAAGGCGCAAGATTTTATGAAGGAGAGAAATCTACATTTTGATTTTGAAAGTTCTAGACTTCAAACATTACAATCCAAAAAGGAGAGGTATATATACTTTCATCATTAAATATAGGAATTTTTTTTAGCTTTAAAATAGGTGTGTTTTATGCTGCACTCGATTTAATTATTATGCAGTTTAACGAAAGATTTAATGATGATTCCATGAAATATTTACATCAAACATCATTTTTTACGCCAAAGGGAATGACAGAAAAATCAATTATTAAAGAAGATATCGAGGATATCTGTGAATTTTACAATTTAAATTCAAGTCAAATTTTCGAAGAAATGTTGAAGTTTAGAAATATTTATAAGATGGCCAAAATGGGGAATGTAAGTAATACTCATGACCTAGAGGTTCAAGAATCTAAAGATTTGTCAGATTCTGAGAATTGTAAATTTATTTAATTAAAATATTTTTACCAATACATTATTTAGCTTCTTCTGATGATGATAATTCAGGGACTTACGATTCAGATTGGAAAAACTATTCATTTATTTTACCTTATCGTTTACTTCTAAATTTTTCTGCTTTCCCTAATTTAAGAATTTTATATAAATATCTATTAACCATTCCCACAACCTCATGTACTGCTGAAAGAGTCATGAGTAAAATTAAATTAATTAAAACAAGACTGCGCAGTACCATGAAAGATTCTTTTCTCAATAATTTAACCATATTATCAATGGAAAAAATTTATTTAAACAATTAAATACTGATGAAATTATAAATTCTTTCGCTTTCTCTTCCCCTAATTTATCTAAATTATTAATTTAAAAATAATATTTATAAAGTTATATTTTTTGCATTTTATTTATATTATATATTAAAAATTGATGCAATAAAAATTATTTTTGAAATTTATGGGTGTCATAATTATCATTTTTTCGAAGGGGGGGGGATACTTTTCAAGGGGGTACTTTTCATGGGGGTACTTTTCATGGGGGTATTCTGCTTCATTCGCTCAAAAAGTGTAGGGGCCACTGGAAAGCATTATTATGCAATTTGCAAAATGAGTTGCAATAAATAATTTTTTATAATTCGGATTTTTAAAAATATATATTCAGGTGAAAATATTTATGATTTTATTTTATATAAATTTACAAAAACAGAAAATAAAATATCTCTAAAAAATAAAATTTTCTGGTGCCAGCCAGACGGCAAAAAAAGGAAGAAAAAAAATATAATTTAAAAATTTAAAAAAAATATACATGGGGATTCGGAATATTTTTTAAATATATTTTTTAAAAATATTTTTAAAAAAAAATCCGAATAAAACGTGGGGATTCAAGATCTCGAATCCCCACGTTGGGATTCTGAATCCCACATGATTCCGATCCCAATACGATATGTATAAAGATTTATTAATAATTATTATATAAGTTTACATCTAATATTAAAAGAAATCGCTCATGTAAAAATTACAGGAAACTATAATTAGGGTGGATATTTGGGGAAAATCGGGAAATTTCCATTTAAAAAATATTTTACAGGTCAATATATATTTTTTGAAATGTTTTCTTCAAAACATAACTATTAACATATTATTTAACCAAGTAAAATACAGTTCCAATTAATTTGAAAACGATTCCAGATCGGAGCTTGCACATCTTGAACCGAGCAATTTATCATTTGCAGAAGTTAATTTTCTATAAACTGGAGATTTGCTCTTATAAAACCAGTTTCTTAACCTTATCACTTTTTAAAAATCTTATTTCGAGAAGATTGACTAATATATTAAATTTTACATATTTCTAATACTTTTGGCCTCCGCTATTATTTTTTAATTGGCAATATTCAATTTGCTATATCTTTTAAAAGCAAATTAAGTCCACGAATTTCAAGCCCGATGTATTCGATATTGGTTATTAATTTTTTACAATCCATACGTTTTACATATTACTTTCATTGTCAGTTATTATGGCTGGTGTTAATTTTTGTGTCCCTATTTCTTTAATTACTTTAATAAATTTATTAGATATTATATATATATTCCCTTATGCATATTGATCTCTGTTTCAATTGATTTATAGAACATGGGGCTTGGTATTGCTATAATAAAGTTTATGAGGCATTCCCCTCTTATATTTGTCCACCCATCAGGGTCTGTTTTTATCTAATCTTTCGATTTCCTTAATTTTTTCATATTTACTGTTTAACTTTTTACTAAATATTTTGAAGGCATTTTAAATGCAAGTTATAAAGATTGAAATAATTTCTTCCAATACCCACATTATGGGAAATGGACAATTTGGCATAAGACTGGCTGCTGCGAATTCAATATCTGTAAATGGTTTTGTTTGAATTGTATTTCTTTTTAGAAATAATCAATTAGTTTAATATATCTTATACTAAAAATGATCTAAGATTTCTTATACTATATATAAATTTCATTTGTATTTTTATAAATATACTTTCTAAAAATACAATTAATTAGAAAATTTTAATATTTAAAATTGCAAATAAGATAGAGTAATAATTAATTTAGACGAGTATTGTAAAATTTTATAATAAAAATTAAAATATCTAGGTTGAGCTCAAGGAAATTACCGTCATCTCATTAGAATTTATATTAGTATATCTATAATCACATGACCTGTCAGATTTTTTATCAAAAAAAGGAATTAACTATACCTAATCCATATCTCTCAAATGTTTAATTAACTACTAACCCTATCCCATCTCTAACCTTTAATCCTAATCTTTATCATAACCTCAGTTATTAAATATTTTAACTTTAGATAGTTCTGCTAATTAAAAAATTTCCTTCGGATCAGACACATTATTTGAGTTCAGCTATTATTATATTATCGAGAATGATTGAAAATAAAGGTATGCATTAGACACAATGATTTATGAACCACGAGGGAAAATATTTTAGTAAAATATGATAAAAATTGTGATTATTTGATTTAAAAACACATTATGAAAATTGGTGAAACTATTGGAGAAATTTTCTGGAAATTTTCCTTATGTTACACCCAAGATAAATTTGTGTATATTTTACAACTTCTTTATTTTATAAGGTGCATAATTTTTGTTTTTATCATAATATACAAATAACTTTTATTATCACAAATTAATAGAAATCGTCTTCAATCACCTGATCAAATCCTGTAATTAATTCCCGAATCTTTGAATCACTTATTAAAATTGACATTATGAATCAGTTACCATTTCAACTAATTAATCTATCGAATTTTCATATTCATTAAGAAAATCATCAAGATTTAGTCATATTAGGGCAGATTTAGAAAATTTACACAATTGTAGAAAATGAAATGAATAATAAAATTACAAATTAATAAATTTATCCATATTTAAATATATAATTTTTTTATTCATAATTTTCCCCACTTTTATTGTTCAAAAAATAAATTTAAAATATATTTTTTGAATTTAAAATACAAGCGTTACTCCAAAAATTATATTTCATTAATGCCTCTGAAATATTTTTCAAATATTAGTTTAATTTAAAATATATTAGTTAAATTAATTATTCTAACTTAACGATATAATTTAACATATTTTACCACTGCCCATGTCTATAAGTATAAAATTGATATCACATTTACCGATCGCTTCATAATAATCTTTAACCCACATGAATTATGAAAAATAAAAAGGATTTATATTAGCTGATATGGGATTTGACGTATGGCTTGGAAATTCAAGAGGAAGTACATATTCAATGAAGCATGCCAAATATTTTCCAAATCAGTCTAAATTCTGGGATTGGAGGTTAAAATTCGAAATAAATTTCATTACCTTGCTAAATACCATTTCATTTAGTTATTTATTAATTAAATATGCTTTCTAAATATGAAGATAAAGATGTTATAACTTATAAGATATTCCTTTTATTATAACGGTTTACAAAAATGATAATAAAAAATCATATGTTTATAAAGAATTGAAATAATAATAATTTTTAAGACAGTTTTTTTTGAACCTATGAGTGGCCAGGCCATATACCATGTTAACTTTTATTTTTTAAAACTTAATTTAAAATATGAATATATATATCCAGAGCCGTAGCCACGGAAATTTTTTGGCCCCCAAACCTGGCCTCCATCTTTGGCCCCCATAAATTTTTTCGTTCAAAAAACATGTCTAGTTTGTAAATTTCTTTCTATCCTGTTTTATTTTTATCCAATAATAAATCATCATTCATTCATATTTTATCATTTCATTTGTGTTTAAGTATAACATTAGTATATAGGCGCTTAATCACGTTCAAATTGTACCAATGATAATTATTTTTATTTATTATGATTTAATCACAATATTATTATTATAATATAACCAGTTATTTAAAACAGCTGTGAATAATTTAGAATTATGAAGAAAATACTGAGATAACAACAATTTATGGTAAGCCAACAAATTAATCTAATAAGGTTACGTTTAATCACAGGTGATCCAAAAGTAGGCTTTTATCTTTGACAAAGAATATCAATTGAAATTTGTCGATCCAACTGCATATCCATACATGGGTCATTAAGCCCACCGAACATACCTAAATATATTATTTAAAATTATTTCTTTTAATTTCTTTTCTTTAAATTATATGTTTTTTATATAGAATATAGATATAGTATGTCAATTATATTTTTAACATATTTTAAATATTATTTTCATCAGTTTTGTTTTATTTTTATAACTGTGCATTGAAGTTTTTTAAAAATAAAAGTGATAATATAATCTTTACTATCTTAAAAACAATATTTGATTTGATGCTATTTCTTAGCATACAGGAGCTACCTTTTCGTGGGATTGGTACAACAAAAATTAGGGATGATGCAACTGATGAAAACATAATTTATTCTTCTGGACTATTTATAGCAATGCTTCCATACACTATCCAAAAAGATCCTGAATTAAATATATTATGAAATTTATACTCAAAAATCCCCAATATAACCCTAGATTCAAAACGAAGTAATATCTATTACTGGCAGATATGGTGCTTGAATATATTTCAGGTAATTATAACAAAAGTGAGATGTCTTTTACTTGTCTTAAGGCTGATGAGACAAAAGATGCATAAGGTTGTGAAAACCTGAGCATAATTTCGCTATATTATTTCTGAAGAAGTCCATGAAAATTTAATAGGAATTATTTACACTGTCTTTCTGCTGAAAGATTACTAATTGAATTTTAAAGCAACTTAATGAGTTAAATATTAATTCAGCGAATATAATAAGCCAGGCATATGATGGGGCAAACGTTAATTCTGGCCAAAATGAAGGAGTGCAAACACTTCAAAAAAATTAATGTTCCTTTTATACATTCCTACAACCATATGTTGCATCTCTGGTTCAAAATTGGTATAATAATGTTGTTATCATTTCTAAATTTTTTTAATGTAACCAATGAGTTTTATAATTTTTCAGGCATTTTAACGTGTTCTGTAAATATGCAGACCATACTCTTAAGAGAATTTAGACCATAGGTAGACTGGTCATTTAGAAACATCTCGCATCATTTATGAGAATTTTGAGGCTTTTGGTGAAGTATTATTTTACTTTTCTAATAGAACTCTTAATTCAGAGGTTTCCATTCATGATTCAGTCGAAGCCTCTGGTCTTTTATCTCAATGCGTTAATATAAATTATGTTATATTAGCCATTATAATTTATGAGATATAATAACAATAGATCCACTAAAATAAGTATCTTATCTACAGTCAGTTGGTACTAATCTATTGGATGCCAAAAATTGTATTGATTCCACTATCAATATATTAAAAAATAAAAGAAGCGATAATTCTTTTGATTTGATTAGAATTAAGGCTGAAAAACTTTTAGCAAAATTTAATCTCACTCCCCACAAATCATCAAGGGTACGTAAAACGCCTATAAATTTTCGAGATTTTTTAGTCAAGACCAAATTTTGGAGTTCTTTAAAAAGGAACTATTATTAAATTAATGATTACTTTGTGTTTATCATCATTTTTTAGATAGATTTACACAAGATGACTATAATCTTCTATCATGTTTTAATATATTGTCCCCCTTTGACCCTGATTATTTTATATCGGATAAAATGTCCCGATTAGAATCATTATTAAACTTAAATATGGAAACATTACATCATGAAATGAAATTAGCTAAAGAATTATTAGCTGCAAAAGTTAAAGAAACACATAATTTTGAAAATATCCTATATATTATGTATAAAAAACTATCATCATGCATTTAAAGAATTGTATAAAACTCAGTAGCTATCATCACTAAGGTACCAACGGCTTCTTGTGTGACCTCTTTCTCTACAATAAAGAGAGTTCTATCGAGCACTAAAGTGCCGATGAAAGATCAACGTAAGCAAAATTTAGTATTGATGGCTTATGAAAAAAAATTAACATAAAATTTATCCTTTAATTCATTTATGTTAAAATTTAAAAATAAAGATCGTCGTATTATATTATAGCATTATTTTGTATATTAATATTATAGTATTATTTTGTATTCAAATTCATATTACATTAATAAATTTTTAATAAAAATAGCAAAAAATTTCATTGAATGCATAATTATTTGTTTTATTTTAAAAAAATAGTGGCACCCTCTAGTAAGCAGCTGCCCCCCTCTCTGAAAATTTCTGGCTACGGCCCTGTATAAATATATGCGTTTATATAGAATACAATATTAAATGCCTTGTATAGAGATTAGTGATATCATACAAAAATAATATTATTTGTTAGCTCTTCTCAATTCAGATTAGGCAATAGCTAAGGAGAAATGTAGCTAAGCTACAGCTTCTTCTTAGATATAGATGCAGCTTAACCACATTTTTCTAAAATTAGTTAGCTTTAGCTTAATTACTTATTTTAATAGCTTTAGCTTATACTCAGCTAAAAATTACAGGCAGCTACTTTTTATTTTTATGAAAAGTATACCATTTTTATAGACATACTTATTTAAATATATTTTTATATATTAAATATTTATCTCAATCAGGCACGTAGCCAGGAATTTTCTATAGGTGGAGATAATTTTTTTATGTTAAAATAATTTTTTTTGGAACATTAAAAACATACTAGAACTAATTCTTATTAAAAATGACAATTTCGAACAAAAATAATAGAAATATTTGAAAATACAAAACTTTAAGAGCGAATATAAATTGCTAAAAAATATTATAGTTATAACCGGTATGTAAATCACAGTAAAATATAATTAAACATTATTTGATGATTTCAAGTTAATCAAAATATCGTTCATAAATAATTTAATCATCTTTACGAATGCGTCAATTTTTGAATAATTTGTTCAGAATGCAGATTAAATCTAGAGGGATATTAAGTAAAGCTAGTCTATTCACTCGATTTTAAGATGTAGCACTTTTGAGATAAGTTCTTATTGTCCGGGTGAATTAAAGATCCCCTCATCTGTGCTTGTACTAATTGGTATTGTTGCCAAAATATTTAGCAATTTTAATATTTTTTCATAAAACTATCAATATATTTTAAAGCAAGCAATGCTTCCATTTCGTTTCATGGTGAATCTTTCATACCAAGATTTAAATTCTGAATTTAATTGGCGATCAGATACATTTATATTCTTTTTATAATATAGGTAATAGTATATTTGAAAAATATTGCATTCATCGTTGCCATCACTCATGTCCCAATAGTAAATCTTACCAAGGGGAGTGGGAGGGGTATTTTAACTGAATATTTTGATAGGGATATCAAATGAAAAAACTAACAAAGGGATCTATTTACAATGTTACTTATCTCTATGTTTTAAGGGTAGGTATGGGGAAAAGGTGAGGATAGAAATTCTAACATAATATCTCTATATGGTTCTCAAAATAAAAAGATCTTTTTACTCTTTTGTTTATCATCCGCATCGCTATAATAAATCACGAGGGATGGGAGAGGGTTAAGATTTTTAAATACATTTTAAACAAAATATCTTGGTATGCATCTTAACTTAAAATAAAAATTCTTTTTATTACTATTGTAATCGTCATTTTTAATCTTCAGATCTAAGTTATACAAGAACGGGGTGGGGTGTGAAAACCTTTTTATTTTATATATGAATTTCAAGTGAGATTTATCAAACTAATTGTTAAAAATCACTCTAGGTTTTAAAAAAAGATTTGTCTGGGGATGGGGTGAGAGACTTCTACACCCTTTAGGCCAACCCGATATTACCCCAAAATATTTTACCCTTATTCTTTCTTAATTTTTACACCCCTCTCCCCCCACTCCACTTAGTAAATAGAGGAATTTGAAGGAAAACTACTCTCCTATCCCCCGTTCCCCATTCAATTTTATTTAATAACGATAATGCTATAACTTCTACTCCCTCCAATTTCAATGACGATTTTGCGTCATACTTTCTCTGCCTGCATTTCTAACTCACAAAATTTTAAGCCCTTCTTGCTACCAACTTAGCGTCCACATGAGTGGGGGAGGGGGAGCATGAGCAGTTTGCTTCCAAATTTTTTGAAGGAGATAGTAGTATTTTCAGATGAAATAAGGCAAAATATATTGCGGTAAAAATTTATTTAATATATATTATAGTCCTATTTAATATACATACATAGATTGTTAAACATCAACCAAATCTACACTGTGAACCGATACCCTTTTTGTTTAGTAGTAAATCTTTCAATTTTAATTATAATTCAATATAAATTGTAAGATTGAGAGAGGGCTAAATTATCAATGTTTTCTGTAATTTACATCAAATTCTATCAAGAGGTTCCAAAGTTATGCACATTCAAAG